TCCCTTGCCTGCTGCCCGCTGCCCCGCAGCCCTCTCGCCCTGGGGCTCTGCCGGAGCCCCTGTCCCGCTCCCCAGGACAGCCAGGCTCAGGTGGGTCTGCCAGGAGCTGCCAGGCTGCTGGGAGTGGGCAGCGTGGGCTTGGCTCTGTGTGAGGGACAGGGCTGTGGGTGCCTCCTGCACTCTGCCTGACATTCATTCCTTGCTTCCTCTCCCTTCTTCCCGGTATCGGCAGTCCCATGCCAGGAGGAGCAAGGCCAGGCCCTGGCAGATTGCATGGATGTTATGCTTGCCTAGGGCTTTCCTGTCCCTCAGGGACAATGTGTCAGCCTTGGGAAGGGGCGCCAGTGATCAGCACGGAAGCTTTGTGAACACTGCTCCCTCTGCCCAGGAGCGCCGTGCTGTTGGCAAGGGACACAGGGTGATGTGCAATCACCATCTGGTAGGAAATCTGGGGAGAGGTGGGGCCACCCTGCCGGAATCACTGCCACCGCACTTCAAAGAGATCACTGGTAGCATCAGGCGGCGCGGGTGGCTGCTGCGGTCTGTGGTTAGTGCAGGCGTGGGAAGAGTGGTGTTAGGAAGCCTTCACCTCCTCACCTCAGGGCACAGGTTAGCACACACATGCCTGTGGAAGTGCGGCAGCACGGGAGCTCTGGGCAGTGGTGTGAATTCACAGGTCTTGTTTCTTCCAGTGCTGGGAGCTTGGTGATGCTGTGACATGCTTGGATAAGGAGTACGAATACAAGGGAAGGTGCTGCAACCGGTGTCAGCCAGGTATGGAGACTTTTTCCTGGGGATCCCATGGCTGAGCTGTGTCAGGATCCGCTGCCTGGACACAGCGGAGCAAGCCCAGCTCAGTGTGACTGAGCTCCTCCACCCCTTTGCCAGCAATGCTGACCTCCCTGTGTCATCTCAGTGCTAGAGCAACTGGGACATCATGAGTGCTCTGGGAGACTCCCTGGACCTCACCAAATCTGCCACAGCTCTCTTGGAACAGTCTGTGCTCCTGCAGCTGAAGGACTCCATGGCATGAGTAGCTTGCAGGGAGAGTGCTGCCAGTAGCACTAGCAAGTCATGATGTTGTTTTCCAGCCCCTGCTGTCACTGTCATGTTTCCCAGTCCCTGGAGTGCTGGCAGCAGTGAACAGCCACCTCTGCAGCCCTCCATCCCTCACTGGCCCCTGCAGCACGCACAGTCACTGGGCGAGCTGGCCCCTACAGCTCTGGCTACCGCGCAGCATACCACAGTGGTCCCAGCATCCACAGCCACCAGTGTTCACCTCTCCTGCTGGCAGAGCTGCTATCTGGAGAGAGGGAAAGCTCCCTTGCTCCCTCCTCACCAGTCTCCATTGCAGGGCAAAAGCTGGTCTCTGACTGCAATGAAACACATGTGTCTGTCTGCACCAGCTGTGAGAGTGGACACTATCAGCAGAGCTGGACCAAGGAGAAGCACTGTGCTCCTCACGATATCTGTGAAGACAGTAAGTTCTCTCTGTGCCCACTGGCCCAAACCCATGGGGGTTCGAGGGGGTGGTGGTCCCCAGGCTCACCTGCCTAGTGTCTCAGCTCACCCGTGCTCCCTTTGCCCAGATGCTGGCCTTATTGTGAAGACAGAAGGAAATGTTACACACAACACAGTGTGTCAGTGCCAAGCCGGCACACACTGCTCGGACACCAGCTGCCAGACCTGTGTGGAGAACCAGCCCTGCCAGCTTGGCTTTGGCTTTGTGACAGGTGAGTCCAACCAGCTTCCTCTCAGTGGGACTGATGCTTCAAGAGAGCTGTGCCCACTGCTGAGCCTGGCAGTGTTGCCACAGGACAAGCTGCCCAGCTGGCCATTGCAGCCCCTTGCAGCCCACAGCCTCTTGCCCCTCACAGCCCCTACTGACCTTCCTGCCACCTCTGCTCCTCTCCAGCCAAGGCTGTGGACCGGATGACATCCCCCTGTGAACCCTGTGCAGAAGGCACTTTCTCCAACGTTTCCTCTAAAACTGAGCCGTGCCATCCCTGGACAAGGTATTGTCTGAATGCTGTCCATGTCCTTCCCCCAGTCCCAGTGAGTACATTCTCTGCTGCCAGTTCCTCTTAGCAGCACTGGGGACTGGGTGGCCAGGCTGGTCTCTGGGGGACACAGGCTGGTGTTGGGCTGGAGCAAGAGGAGCAAGGCTGGGAGCACAGTGAGCTCAAGGGCAGCATGGCTGAGGTTGAAACAGATGTCCAGGTGCTTGTGACTGTTCTCAGCATGCTTGCCCCTTCAGGGATGTCCATGCTGTCATCTGAGCAGGGGAGCAAGGGATGAGGGGCTGCAGGGCTCCCCATGTCCTGTCTAGGCTCTCCCTCCCAGCACACTCCATGGCTGTAGTCATCAGCCAAGGCACAAGCTCTCTCCATGGGGAATCTGTTTTTGAGGATGCCATGGGCTGGTGGGTCATCCCTGTCTTTATAAAGCTGCTTGAGGGTTAATTGCACTCCCTGGTAGAAGTGTGAGCCTTATTTCCAGTCTGAATTAGTCTTGCTTCAGCTGCCAGCCATTGGATTTCACTTTGCTTTTGTCTGTGCCCAGAAATTACCTCCCCACGGGGCCACTTGTAGCCTGTCATCAAGTCCTCTCTGAGATGTGTTATAGCTGCAGTGCCCAAGCCCTGGGGCCTCCCTGACCGGGCAGGTCTCAAGTATCTGCTCCCTCCTGTGCCTTATCCCTAAACTTGTTCCTATCCTCAGCAGTTTCAGCAGCTCCAGACCAAGACCCTGGGTTGGTACCCTGCTATGTACCTGCTGTCCCCATCACGCAGTGCCCCTGTGGGTCCCTGGCCACTTGCCCCGCTAGAGCCTGGGGACAGGCTCAGTGCAGGATGTGTTGTGGCGCAGCTCATGTTTCTGCCTGGCCACAGCCATTCCTCCTCAGGAGCTTTCCTTGTGTTGGGGCTGCTGCTGTTGTTACATGGTCTTGCTCTTCCCTGCAGCTGTGAGGAAAAGGGGCTGGCTGTGAAAGTGAAAGGGACAAACACCTCGGATGTGATTTGTGGTAAGTGCCTGGTGCCCAGGGCTGATCTGGTGCAAAGCAGAGATCTCCCAGGGCTCCAACTTGTGCAGTACTGGGAAGAGCTGGCCTGGCCCTTGGGTGTTTTTGGAAGAGGAGGGTCTGAGTGCATGGCCAGTGTGATGCTTTCCTGCCTCTCTGTTCCTGTGTCTGCATGGCTGAGCCTGGAGCAGAGGCAGCTAAGGGCACTTGCAGTGAGTGTCTTGTGGGTGCCTCACCGATCCCTTCTCCCCCAGCAGAGTCAGGCAGGCGCTCCTCGCTGTCGGTGCTGATCCCCATCACAGCTGCGGTTGTCACGTGTCTCATGGGTGTCTTCATCTACTGCCTAGTCCACACAGGTGAGGGGCTGAGGCATGGGAAGTGATGCCTTGGCCACAGGGACTGTACAGGGCCAAAGGGCTGAGCTGGGGAGGATGGCTGGGAGTGGGGCCGCCCCTCTGGGGACATGGCCAGGGCACAGTTCCTCAAGCCTATTACCCTGCTGGGTCAGGGGCTCTGTCCTTGGGCACAGGTGTGTTGGCATTGCTGCAGCCTGAGCTGGGTCAGCTCTTGGGGGAATGTGCCAATGCTCTGTGGGTCCAGCTCAGGTCTCCACTATGGCCCACAGCCTGGCAGCAGCAGCAAGCACAGTGTGAGCTGCAGGACCTGCAGTGCAGCAGCACCAGCCCCGGTACTAACCCCAGGAAGCTCCTTGCAGGGCAAGAGTTCTCCCCCCTGAATGTTGCCTTCTTTATCCCTCTTTCCATCCAGATTCCAGGCGACAGATGGAGAAGGAGGTGAGTCTCCCCAGAGTCCTCCTCCAGCAGGGGCTTGGGTGGGTTGGGGTCCTCCTGGGTACAGCAGGTGATGTGCCAGCAGCAGAGCAGGGGCTGTGGCTTTGCAGGGCAGGAGGAGTGGGGGCTGAACTAGGCTGCCTGGCTGGAGTAGGACAAGGGTCAGGGCAGGACAAGGGCTGGGGTAACTCTGGGGTGCTGTTGTCAAGTGCTGAGTGTTTGGGAGGGACTCACAGAGAGTGACACTCTGCCCTGCACAGGAGTGTAGCGGGAGCCTGTGGAAAGACATGGCTGCAGAGGTGCAGGGATGTAGCTTCCTGTCCCTGACCCCTGCACCTGTGCAGATAGAGGCTGGGAAGCCCGGAGAGAACCCAGATACCCCGGAGCCCACGGAGCAGGATGAGAATGTCTTGCCTGTGCAGGAGACCCTGCTCAGGGGCCAGCCCGTGGCCCAAGAGGATGGCAAGGAGAGCCGC